ATGCTTTGTTAGTTCACTCTGAAACCTGGCTTCGCTGCTTAAGCCGCCATTGCTAAGTCCTCTTTGGCGGTGAACTCCGGCCTGCCGCCGCCGTTGCTCAGCCGCTTCGACCTGGTGGTCGTGCGGCTCCCTTGGTCAGGTTTCCTTGTAAATCCTTTGTCTGTGCAAGATGGATGTGGGGATGCTTCTATCTCCCGGCTATGGACTCTTCAGATGGCTGCTCTGCTGCTACTGTCGTACTACACCTGCCAAGGTTTGCAGAGGGCGGGAAGGCCAGGAAGTAGGTCGTGTGGAGTGACGGAGATCCGCAACTCGACCTCTTGACGGAGGGTGGCGCAACAGAGAGCGACAAGGCCGAGTTTATCCTTGAAAGCACAGCGCCAGCCTCAGTCTCTGCGATGTGCGAGATGCAGGCCGAGAGCTTGTTCTTCTACGGTGAACTCTCATGAAACCGCAGGGTCCGAACTCCGTTGAGAAGCCTCCAGCGTGGGACCATGCCAGGCTCGGCCGAGTTGCAGATCTTCATTCATTGAGGGGAGTTTGGCTTGACAGTGTGATAGGCTGCGCGAGTACCTGATGTGGGCAAAGGACAAGCTGCTTGACGAGGACTGATGTGATTTTGCATACGGACCGTCGACTGCAGCATTCCGCTAGGACGATGAGCCGGGGGCAGCGCTCTTGCTGGAGACGTGCCCTCCAGACTGAGAGGGGTTGAGTTGACAGTCGAGAAGCCCGCATGCCTGGCATAAGGTTACCAATCTGTCATCTGACTCAGGGTGACCAGTCAGGTACTTCCAGAAGCTACGGTCGACATCTTTGAGCTCTGGTGGTGGTGGCGGCGGCGTCACCGCGCGCACACTTGAGAGCACCTCGATCGCAGAGACACTTCCACTCTAAACCCTACAAGGCCCTCAAGCCCTAAAGCCTAAAATACTCGAGGATCCTAAATCCCCAGACATCCCCAAACTCCGCTCTGTGTCTGTGTCTCGAGGCCTTGTCCGTCTTGCGCAAGCACATGCAAAGCTCATGGGCCGCAGGAGTCTTCGGGCCGTAAGGGCTTTAGGGTTTCGGGTTTGTGGTAGTTTTCACGAACTCAACTATAGTCCCCAAGCTGCAGATTGTGTCCTGAAAAGGAAGCCCGAAAAGGCCCTCAAAAGCAAGGCATGTCTCTGCGACATTGATGGCCGATTGCGTAGGAGCGTCTGGATCGAAGACGCGGTGGCAGTCGTGGTGCTGCACCGTGCATCACTACAGGAGCTGAGACAAACCCCAATGGCATTTTTTGCTGATCGTGTGTACTGGAGTCGTCTTTGCTCCACATGGAGAGTCTTTCAAGAAAGAACTGCTGTTATTCTGAGGGCACAGCGATCTCAGTCCCTTATCATCCCGGTGATCAGAGACCAGCATGCTGTGCATGGCCCTGGTGACCAACCCAAGCTCTGGCTTCACCACCGCTTTTTCCCATTCGACTGTCTTTGCCGCATGGCCGATCTCAACCTTTGTGCGGCACGCCGTGAGAAGCGACGCCTGAGTTGCCCGTCACCTTCGGAACAAGAGGCATTGAGAAAAGCATAGAAGGGCCAAGGAAACAAGGTCGCACCGAACCTCAAGATGAAGCTGAGTGTACCTTCTTGCGTCCCTTCAAGGGACCAGACCTCCGCAGCCTGGAACCGCGTCCTCACAAGAGGGAATCGTGCTTCAGCATCGGCAGGATCACGTGGTGGGGGCGGAGTCGTTGCAGCGACCTCAGCGTGGTCTGCAGCTGCCACGGAAAGGACCCTGCAGCTGCAGGCCTTCGGGTGAAGACTTCGCACCCAGCTTGAGGGATTGGCAAGATGAGACCGCCGCTTGCCGGGGACCAAGGTTGAGTCCTCCGCAGCTTGCGCCACGTCTCATTGCAATTCTCAGGTGGCGTAAAGGTCTCCTTGGAGGGCGGCGTGCTCTGCAGTCGATCTCTCCCGCCTCTGCGTTAGTGACACGCGAGTGTGGCTGAGGACTGGAGCTTCACCATGGGACCGAGATTCCTAACCAGGACGTCTACCTGTACTTGGAGCAGGCATGCCAGAAGGTCTAAACTAAACAGACATGGGAGATGACTCCGGTCATGACTCTGGCCCCAGACAAGGCGATTCTACGAAGCTTGAAGCTGTGCCTCGGCTGAGCTTCTGCAAAGCACCGGTTGCAGCAGCTGTTCTTTGGATGTGTAGGTGCCGTTCCAGCAACGACAAGAGGCATCTGGTACAATTGCAGCAGGCCAGGCCAAATCCCTATGAAGGTCTAAGAAGCCAACCGCGGAGCGCCGAGGCCATGGCCATTGCGGATGCTCCGCGTCCTCTCCGGGCAAACGCCTTGGATTGGCATCTTGTACTAGAAAATGAAACGTTGGACGTTGATCTCCTATATACTACAAGGTACTAATGATATACTATAGCTAGTATAAAATGTTACAAGATACCAAAATACATCGCTACTATGATTCTAATATAACTATAACACACACAAACACACACATATATATGCCATGTGTAGAGTTTGGCAGCCTTGGGTGCACATGTATCATCTGCGATCGCTATCATGCCTTTTGGTTCAAGCCTTGGCAGTTGAGCCAAAAAGGCAGGATTTTGTTGCCCGCCCTCCCTCCCTTTTTCTGAGACGATCCCCCGTGGGGCTATCCTCTCTCTTAGGGTGGGCAGCGAGAGTTTTCTCGACTGCATTCGGAGGGGATATCGAACCGTGTTGGTTCGGGGTGGGGCTTGCAACCCGGAGTCGACCCGGGTTTTGCTAGCCTCATTCATCCGGATGTTTTACCAAAGCATTTCCCGTAGTAACGGGTTCTACAGACTGGGACGGCACTGGCGATGTGAAAAGAGTTGTGTGTGCAGTAGCCTCTGTGATTCGATTTGCGGATGTATATATATATATATATATATATATATTTATGTATATATCATGTATATATATATATACACACACCATAGATACATTATAATATATATAATATAACTACATATCGAAGTGAAACTATTTTTTTTTGCGGGGTTAAGCCTGGCGTGGGTTCCGAGGCCAGGGAGCCTCGGGGAGATGCCTCGCCGGCGAAGGCTGCTGGCCGCTCTGAGGCGCTGATGATTTTGATGAGGTGTTGTCGCAAGTCAGTATGTCTGTGTGTACGTACATATATATATATGTATATATATATATATATGTATCATACAGATATACATGTAATGTATATGTATATATGCAGGTATTATACACCACCATCGTAACTATAGTCTTTGACGGTATACTAAAGGACATTGTGGCATTCGATGGCATGCCACCGTATACGGTAGCCATCTGAGGTGTGTCAGCAAATCATGTTGAAGCCATGCCAGGTGGCTTCTGGCTCCTCATGGGCCTCCCAGCAAGTCATGCGCTGACCTCAATTGAGGTGAAAAGCAGTATAGATCTAGCAAAGCCCGGGCGAAGTCACTGCCCCTCGACGGGGCGGAAAGAAGGTATGTGTATGTCTACGTCTCTCGTGCAGTGACCATGTGGTATTTGCATGCGATTGCACAGATTTCGCAGGATAACGACAGGTGAATGGAAGCAAGGCGTCACGAAGCCGCAAGTCCTAGGAGAGGCGACAAAACGAGTGGTGGAACCCCTATCGAGCAACAAGCCTTGCCTTCCGGCTCTTGAAGTCCGTACTTCATTTTTTCCGCTGAAGCACTGGTGGACATGGGGAAGCTTTTTGTTGATGCACCATGGATCTTTTTTAACAAGGAGGGAACAAGTCGTCCGTGCTGACACATTGTTGCGATGCCTCCGAGGCCGTGCACACAGGAGACTCGAGTGACACAAGCGGCGCAAGCGAAGCCGCGGGGGAGGCAACTCGGGTGCACGGCTCAGGCTCGTCCTTGCAGATGCACAAGACGTATATTCTGGATTGAAGTCGTCCTTTTCTGAGGTGCCGAGTGCGGTGAGATCGGGTTTCAAGTTTGGCGTGGCTGAATCGGGAAAGTGCGGACGTACAACAAGAATCAGCCCCTGATGCCCTTGACCCTAAACCCTACAACCACCTAAAGCCCCAAACCGAATAGACCTCGGACCTGTTTGCAGTTTCCTAAACTCGGCCGGGCGTGAGCTTGAGCTGCATGCAGATTTGAGCTCATGGGGCGTGCAGAAAAATTGTCGGTTGCACCATGTCGTTGGATCCAAGATTGCAGCATCTCCTGTTGTGTGTGTGTGCATATTGCATGATCTTCTGCGGTGCCAACCATGCAATCGTCATGTATATGAGTTTGTATATATATATATATATGTATAGATATCATATGTATGTATGTATGTGTGTATGTATGTATGTATGTATGTATGTATGTATGTGTTTTTTTACGTATATGTATATTTACATATATGTATATATATATATACATGTAAGCTAGCATGCATAGTCTATATATATATATATATATATGTATACAGACACGGTTTGTGTTTGGATGTTGCAGAGATGTGCGGATCTGTAAGAGTACGCCAACACGCAAGAAATAGGCAAGCAAGTAAGTAAGTGCGCAGATATGCAATGCAACTAAGTGAATGAGTGAGTGAGTGAATGAGGGTGAGTGAGTTAGTAAGTCAGCAAGGCGAGATGTACATGCCGCCGTAAAGGAATGCGCATGCAAATGCAGGTTTTAGACATGAATCAGACAGCGAGATTAAATGCAGAGGGAACACAGGTGAACTCGCCAGGCACGAATGCGCTGCAAGCAGGCTGATACACCACCTAGTGGGCTCAAACCTAACCACTGGAACCAAGCAGAAGGAGTCAGTGCTTGAATATACGAGCCGCACATGATGTTCAGACAAAGCAATAAGCCAATACATAGGCATGCACCTTTGTTCGTTCGTTAGTACATGCATAAGGGGGTTTCTGCACGTCGTCACGTCTACAGTACAAAGAAGCCGTCGCGACGACAAGTTTGGGAGCTAGCAGTACGCAGGCTGTGTGCTGCCAGGTTCTCTGAGGCTGCCCCTGCAGCGAAGGGCTTCCGAGCTGCTGTGCTGGAAGTGGCCAAGGAGACGGAGGCGAGATTCGGCAGCAACCTGCTTCTCCCACTCCGTGAATCATCAGCGAAACATGCGAGAACACGTAGATATGTCCGAGCACGGCAGACGCGCCCACGTAATCAGCAGCTGTTGTTGGTTCGTGCCGAAGAATGGGTCTTAGCTGATTGCAAGACACCATGTAGCTAGGTCTAGCAGCAATCAGTTGCAATCAGTGAGCAAGCCAAGACAACTGCGCTCATGCCATGAGCAGTGTCACGCTGCCAGCGTAGTGAAGCAACACCACGACGACTCTACGAACACGAAAACGACGACGACCACGACGACTGCGCCATGCTTGAGACCAGACGGAGACCACAAAGAGACCGCCAAGAGACCGCCAGTAGACCACCGGGACACCGGAATTTCCCGCGTTTCAGGACCACAGCGCTTGCGCTTCCTCTTAATTGGCAGGCTTCAGAATGACATCCAAAGTCCTTTCCTGCAGGAGCTGATGCAATTCGGAGGTTTTCGAAGGAAAAGTGGTCCATATATATATATATATATATATATATAGAGATCAGGTTGCTGTGGGGCCTGGGTTTTTGCAGACCACTTTTTTGTATCATATTTACATTCAAACAACTTCAAGCACTTGAAAGGTACACGCAGCATTACACCACAAAGTCCCGTACATTTCTTTTCCTGAGTAATGTATTCAGAGTCAGGCTTAGCCTGTGTATAATCAGACGTCAACGGGTACGACATGTAGGCATTGAGTGGCTACGTATTCAAAGTTCTTCCCACAGCAACTATCACAGGCAGGAAACACCGTAAATACCGTGTATTCTGCCCTTTATCAAACCAAGTCTTGGGGCAGGCCACATAGACTCGACACGTGCGACACGGAGCCTTTGTCTCATCCCTGCAAGACTCTTCATTCTATCAAGCCAATCCACCCAAAACCAGAACCATTGCATCATCTGCTTTGGCATGCAGTGTTCGGTTGTTGGAGAACCTGTAGGTATTGAATTAGCGTACTTATTTGGAAAAGTGCACAGGATTCGATATAAGTTGTTAGGTCAGTGCTTTAAATATGTTATGGCATGTCAACAAGTATGAGTGAGTTCAAGCTATGTATTAGCGTGTGTGACTTTCAAGGAACCAAGGAATAATGAAAAGCTGCCTGTGGTTAGCAAGTCTGCTACTTGTCGAAGATGACTCAAATCCTGTTTGCGCTTGTTCATGTCCTGCTGGCTGCTGTAGGTACTATCGCTTTGGTTACCCACAGTCTACAATCCAAAATAGCGAGCATCTGGATCAATATGAATTCTGAAGCCGGACAGTTGGTTTTATGGGGCCGCTCGCGCTGAAGCCTCGCCTGGGGAATGATAAAGCTGTACGAACCGTCGTGGTCCAGGCCTTTGCATGATCTTGCATGGCGTTCATGTCCACAAATACCTGTTTCAGAAATTCTGTTGGTTTGATATACAATCAATCCTTTCATATCCTTCGGGTCCTCAAAGGTTATAAAGGTGGCAAAGATTGGACCTCTGAGCTTGTAGCAACAACACTTGTGTTTACACGGGAAGACAGGTATACGCATATGTGTACAATATTCCAAAGAAGTGAACCCTGTGTGTATATGGACAGCTTTGTTGTTTATAAACAAGGCCAGGTGTTTATCAACAACCAACCACATAACATTGTGTTTCCCATACGCAGAAACACCGTAAATACCAGGGGTTTCATAGTTTTCTCAAACAAACAAGGTCTTGGTCTATTCCACACGAACCGGTACGTGGGCAAAATCCAGTTAACGTATCAGTGTGTCAGTGTGTAAGACTTGCAGTACGGTGAGGTTTGTGAACTGGTTGGTTGAAGTCAGCTGCTAGTGACGGGGGAAGCAGTGTGCAGGGCGGCGTTGGCTTTGCTTTTGGGGGAGAGGGGAGGGGGAGGGGGAGGGGGGGGGGGAGAGGGGGGGGGGGGGGGGTGGTAAGTTTTGAACATGCACAAAAACACGCCCCCCCCCCCCCGCCCCCCCCCCCCTCCCCCCTCTCCCTCCCTCTAGACCGGTGTTTATAAACACATACATATCTACATGTCTGGCAGGCTAGCTGTTTATAAACATATACAACATCAGTTCTGAAGAGGAGGCACATGCTTGTGACGACGCGACATGTTTATAAACAAACCCGGTGTTTATAAACAGACCTCGTGTTGCACAACTTGCACAGCAACTCATACTTGATGTCATAAACCTTCCAAAGCAACAACATACACGTACACACGCACCAAACTAGTACACAGTTCAGAAAACCCCACGTGCAATCACTCGAAACATACAAAACCACTCGAAAAATTCAAAACCACTGAAAATGGTGGGTTGCCAAAACGCAGGCCCCACAGCCTCCTCTTCTGTATATATATATATACACACATACACATATACATATATATATATATACAGATAAATATATATGCGCATTTCTTCACAGCCGGAGTCGCACGTCGGGGAGCTTTTAGTCTTGTCGCCACGCGCGAGTGCTATCCAATTATCTTTGAATCCCTGGTGAAACCACCCTGTCAAGGGAACAAGGAATATGTAGCAAGCAGTAGCAGGTTGTGGTGGCAGATGCGTACGAAGTGGTGCTCTGACTGCAAGACGGTTGTTTTGAATATAGAGGCAGCTTCTGAGAGCTGAGCTGTTTTCGATTGCCAGACCTGCGCACAGCCATGACACCCGAGCCAGCGCCGAGGACAACACTGGCATCATGAGGAAGTGGCCGAATCCCCAAAAAGACTCGGGGAGAGCGCCCCTTCAATAGTGGCATGGGGTCAGCTGGTTGGTGCGGAGCTTTGTAACTCTTGCTTGCTTCAACACCCAGGTCGATCCAAAACGACAACTGGAACCTTGACATCTGGACCCCAGATAAGAAGAGGCGGCAGCAAGGAATGAGCAACGCATTCTCTGCGCCGCTGAATACGCAGGTTCCAGTACACCTCTTCAGCTGGGAAGGAGCCTGCCCTGACCATTTCAGCAGAATGGGCAGCCGTGACCTCAGCAAGCCTGCAGTGAATAGGGATTCATGAGAGCAGTTAACCGCATACGCACAAGTATGTATACATATGTAATAATGTATGTACGTGTGTAACTGCCTAGTAAGTATGTTTTCTGTATGCATGCATGTATGCAATCATATACGAATGTATCAATTCAATGTATGTAAGTGTGATAATTATTATGTATGTATATGTATGTATGCATGTGTGTATGTACGTATGTATGCATGTATGAATGCATGTGTGTGTGTGTGTTTATGTATCCATGTTTGTTTTTATATGTAATGACTGAGTGTAGGCATGCGTGCGTGTACGTATGTGTTTATTTAGTGAAAGGATGTGTTTGTGAGTGTGTATCCATGTGTGTATGTAGGTGTGCATGTATGTTTGCTTGCCTACGTGTTTGCTTAGTTTTTTGGTTTGCAAGCATGTTGGTATATGTAACGACTGGCAGAATGTGTGTATGTATGTGTGTGTATGTGTGTGTATAGCTGTGCATGTATGTATTTGTGTGTATGTATGTATGTATGTATGCAGCTATGTATGTATGTTAGGCATGTATGTTTGTTTATGTAGTGAAGGTATGTACGCATGTATGTATTATGTACATAGGGATGTAGGTAGGGCTAGGTCGGCAGGTAGGTTGGTGATCATGTATGTTTGTATATCGTCTTCATGAATGCATGGATGGATGGAGGGAGGGAGGGAGGACGGGGTGATGTGAGGATGGGAGGATTGATGGATGGATTGATGGATGGATGGATGCATGGATGGGCTGGATGGAATGAATGGACTGAACGGAATGAATGCAATGAATGCATGCATCAATGAATGAACGAATCAATGACGGACTGACTGACTGGCTGGCTGACTGACTGACTGACTGACAGACTGACTGACTAACTGAATGAATAAATCAATGAATGTATGAATGAATGAGTGAAAACGTAGTTATGTAGGTATTTAGGTAGGCCGGTAGGTATACGTAGGTATGGATGTGTAGGTAATGACTGAACGAACGAATGAATGCCTGTATGTATGTAGGTATGTAGGCATGTATGTAGACATACTCCGCCTCATGCAAAGCATACCATCGAAGCACTTGGGTGAGGCATGGCTGGATGCTGGCGCTAAGGGTGGGTATCCAGCCTAGTGCAGAGCTTACCATCCCTTTTGCCGGAGCTTGACGATGTCACAGTGACTGGCTGTCTGCACCTAAGGCCACACAGCTGAGCTCATTGTGAGCTTGTGTACTTGTAGCGCGTAGCAGTGCACCGTTTTCACCCCCAGGGCCCAGTGCATCGGTCTGCCAGTGCTTGGAGGTTCATGGGTCGGTATAAATGGAGCCATAAGTCCCCTAGTATGGATTATAGGTATAGTTATCCTACTGGTAACTCCACCTATAACCTCCAGGTGATACAGGCGGGCAGTTCTCAACACGGCTCTGAGCCCGGGCTCCCCCCAATCGCTTTCAAAAAGAGTTCCAGACTCTCATGAGCTGCTGATGTCCTTCCCCTGGGCAGCTAGGAGTCGCTGCGCTCCGAGGGCTCATGCCAACCTCGACTGTGCACGGTTTTGGATGACGTGGATTTTTTTGGCTCGAAGTGTCACAAAGTGTTGCTTTTGCTTGCTTTCATCATGTTCGTTGTTGAGCTAAGATCGATTATCCAGCGACCTATTTCCGACACATAGCGCCACTCAGCTGCGCCTGCACTCAACTACTACAATACCTGACTCCAACCGACCGGGGAGCCTTGAAGCAAGCTTGCCTCCTTTTTTCGAAGACGGTCTCGGACTCAGAGTTTCGAGGAAATGCCGTTGGAGCTGCCGCGCATCTCGAAAGCTAAGGCCATTAATATTTTATCGGACACTGTTTTTGTGCTCGCCTAAGTGTTGCCGCTGGTGACCTGTGGATAGAAGCTGAGTCTGTTTTTGGACTGCGCGTGGTGCGGGGCTAGCACGTCGGCACTTGTAAGGAAGGCTCTGCGATCTTGTGATTTTGACCATCATGGCCTTGACCGGTGTTGTGAAGAAGTATGACACTGCAAAGGCCGTGCGCAGTGCAACAGCGAGCACAAACACACAGAACAATGTGCCTGCAGGGCTTCGGATTCATCGTTCCCACTGGAACCAGCACGGACCTTCTGCCACCGCTGCAAGTGCCAGAGTTCTCTCTGCGTGTTTTGTTGTGGAAGCATCATCTTCAAACGGCTTGGCAGGACCTCTTTGTTCTGCGCACGGATGTTATTGGTGGAACGCTACAGGCTGGAGACAAGGCGCCCCGGCATTTGCGTCGCCTCATTCTGGGCTTTTTCTTCCTTAAAAATCACTCGCCTGGCAATCTCAAGCCCTACTAGTAGGAAGTTATTGCGCAAACATGTTGTTATTCGGGGCCTAAGGGGGTCTATGGTCCGGTATTTAGTCCGGAGTGCCAGGTCACTTTCGACGAAGGCCTGAACGAGCGCACCGGCAAGCCCAAGGCCATCCGCGTCGCCGGAGGATCTGGACCTGCACCAGGCATCCTCGGCTTCAAGCGCCCGACACCGCAAGCCCTGGTGTCTTGGGTGTCTTGGGTGTGCAGGTGGCAAAGGAGATCCGGGAGACGGAGAAAAAGGCGGACATAGCCATAAAGCATGCGCAGTTGCCCCCCCCAGTTTTTCAGTTGCGTCTGTCTTGATCTCTCTTGCGATGGAGGCGGCAAGGGTGGAAAGGGCAAGAGAGGCGACAAAGGCAAGGGAGGAGGCCCCTGTCTCGAAGATGTTTCTGGGTCGACCAGCGTTTTACGTGGAATCGTAGAAGTGTATGCCTGCTCCCTGGGGAGGTGCGAAGCAGCTTCCAGGACTGTTTTTCTGTCACAGGTATTCACCCCAAAACGATCAAACCCTGACCCGGTAAACCCTCAAAGTCCTGAAACCTGAAGCGCGAAACGCCAAACTCCCTTCATAAAACAATTATTATAGTACCATAGGCCCCAAAACCCTATTCTAATTATTAAGGCCCCTACATTCTGGTACCCTCTAAAGATCCCTTAGAGTAACCCTTAAACGGCCCCTTTAAAAGAAACCCTAAAACCCCCTATATTAACCCTTATAGTCCCCGTTAAAGGGGGTTTTACCCTAAAACCCCCTTTTTCCTTAGAGGAACCCTAAAATCCACTTTTTCCTTCAAAGGAACCCTAAAAATCACCTTTTTCCTTTAAAGGAGCCCTAAAAAATCACCTTTTTCCTTTAAAGGAACCCTAAAATCACTTTTTTCCTTTAAAGGAACCCTACCTTCCCTTCAGGAGCTCTGAACGGAGGCTTAGTTGCTGGACCGGTTCCCGGTGGCTGCGGCGGCTGTGGCCCTTGCGGCTGCCCGGCTCCTTGCGGATTGATGCTAGGCCGCTGCCTCAGACATGTGTTTATAAACAAACAGTAAATGAATAAATGTGTAGATATTATATATGTATATATGTCCACGTTTTGTAATATGTGCATACATACTCATTATTTAGGTACACATACACATGTTCTGCAGCATTTTTTCTTTATCTGTTTATCTGTTCATCTATCTGTCATTCCCTGAAAGAGCGATGCATGCACGATTACGTGTATACTCAGCTGCAGCCCGGCCGAGGTGGGGGCTGCGGCCTTGGTGCAGGCTTCCTCTGCATGGCATAACTTAGTCAGTGCTCTGGATTGCTCTAGGTGCAGATAGGGACCAATCGCCTCTGTTTTCACGACTTGACAGGAAAAGCAGCCGCACCCATGCCGGGTGGTTGTGCAGGCATGCCAGACGGCATCAAGTCCGGTGTGGTCAAGTTCCTCGTCTCACGTTAAAGCGCAGACGTTGTGTTTGGGGTGGAATCGTGTCTCATCGGCAAATTTCTGAGGTTCTTCCACGATGAGAAAGGTTTTGGGTTCATCAAGCAGGATGATGGTGGCAATGACCTCTTCGTCCATCGCAGCTTATCTTTCACACTGCTGTTTGAACGTTGAGCAATCTTTTGGTACTCTGCAGCATCTTAAATCTTAAAGTTTTTCTGATGAGGCAACGATGTGATCGACACCCTTCTGAATGAGGGGGATCAAGTGCAGTACAGCGAGGCGGTTGACAACAGAAGCGGGCGAATGAAGGCGCACCAGGTCACTGGCGGCACAGGTGCACCAAAGCCCCCTCAGGAAAAAGGTGCAGGAAAGGGTGGCAAGGGTAAGAAGGGAGGCAAAAGAAGTGCACCTAACGAGCCGAGCCTTCCCAATCCTGGCATGGCTATGCCTGACCTCCCTTCACAAGACACGGCATTGTCACAGAAGATGACTGGCAATCTTAATGCACTCCAAGATGCTGCAGCGATGATCGGAGGCTGCAATCCCAACTTTCTCATGGGCAAGGGGGGTTTCCCTGCCGGCGCCTGTGGCTGTCCTTGCGGTGGCTGCGGTGATGCTCAGAAGATGGGCTGTGCCTGCGGAGGTTGCGGCTGTGGTGGGCTCTGTGGAGGCTGCGGTTGTGGAGGTTGCGGGGGTTGCGGAGGTGGCTGTGGCGGCTGTGGCTGTGGAGGCGCTTGTGGAGGTTGTGGTGGCTGCGGGCAGTGCATGGGAGGCTGTGGCGGCAACTGCGGAAGCCTGCAGATGAGCGGGAACAGCTGCAATGCTGGCGGCTGCGGCGGATGTGGCTGCAGTAGCGGGAATGCATGCAACGCTTGCAACCCAGGAAGCGCCCTGCGGCCGCATGAAGACCGAGATAGATCATAGTCATAGCTGTCAAAACTCGAGTTTGTCCAGGGGTCAAGAACTCGTTCTAGGTGGGCATATTGCAATGCTGCAATGCTCGCTCGCCCCTCCGATACAGGGAAGTGATGTTGACTTCTTTGAGCCATCAAGATAAATCCGAGGCTGGCAACTGCAACATGCCGAGCAGCTGCTGTGGCTGTGGAGGTTGCAGTGGTTGCACTGGCTGCGGCTGCGGCTGTGGTTGTAACACCGGCTGCTGCGGCTGTGGAGGCCTGGGAAAGTTCTGCGACATACTGTGCAGTTTTGC